GTATCTTTGCCTGGTTTTGGAATCAGGGTGATATTGGCCTCATAGAGTGAGTTTCGAAGTGCTCCCTCTTTTTCTATTTCCTGAAATAAATTAAAGAGTATTGGTATTAGTTCTTCTTTGAAGAACCCAGCTGGAGGTCTTGTAGAACTTGGCTGTGTTTGGAAACCTGATCCTGGGCTTTTCTAGGTAGGTAGACTTCTGCTGGCGTCTTCTATTTCATCACTTGAAATTGATCTGTTTAAATTTTGTATATCATCCTGATTCAATGTGGGCAAATCATTTGACCTTAGAAATGTGTCAATGCTTTTGATATTTTCTATTTTATTGGAGTACAAGTTTTCAAAATAATTTTTAATCATCTTCTGTATTTCTGCAGTGTCTGTTGTAATATTTCCTTTTTCATCATGTATGTTGGTGATTTGAGTTTTCTCTCTCCTTCTCTTTGTTAGCATGGCTAAGGGTTTGTCAATTTTATTTATTTTTTTCAAAGAACTAACTTTTTGTTTTGTCAATTTTTTCATTTGTTTCTTTTGTTTCAATTTCATTGATTTCAGCTCTGATTTTAATTATTTCCTGTCTTCTACTGCTTGTGGTGTTGATTTGTTCTTCTTTTCCTAGGGCTTTGAGATGTAATGTCAAGTCATTTATTTGTTGACTTTTTCTTCTTTTAAGGAATGAACTCCATGCAATGAACTTTCCTCTTAGTACTGTCTTCATAGTGTCCCAGAGATTTTGATATGTTGTATCTGTGTTCTCATTTACCTCTAAGAATCTTTTAATCTCCTCCTTGATGTCTTTTGCAACCCATTGTTCACTCAGTAGCATATATTTAGTCTCCAGGTGTTGGAGTAGCTTTCATTTTTTATTTTATCATTGATTTCTAATTTTATTCCATTATGATCTGATAGAATGCAGGGTAATATCTCTACTTTTTTATATTTGCTAAGAGTTGCTTTGTGGCATAATATATGGTCTATTTTAGAGAAGGATCCATGTGCTACTGAAAAGACAGTGTATTCGTTCATTGAATGATGAAATATTCTATATATGTCAGTTAAGTCTAAGTTATTGATTGCATTATTGAGTTCTACAGTTTCTTTGTTCAGCTTTTGTTTGGAAGATCTATCCAGTGACGAAAGGGGTGTGTTAAAGTCACCCAGAATTATTGTGTTGTATTTGACTCTTGAATCTAAGAAGAGTTTGTTTGATGAACATAGATGCTCCATTGTTTGGGGCATATAAATTTATTATTGTTATGTCTTTTTGATGAATTGTTCCCTTAAGCAGTGTGAAATATCCTTCTTTATCCCTTTTATTAACTTTGGCTTGAAGTCTGCTTTATTTGATATGAGGATGGAAACCCCGGCTTCCTTCCGCAGTCCATGTGTATGGTATGCTTTTTCCCAACCTTTCACCTTCAGTCTGTGGATGTCCTTTCCTGTGAAATGAGTCTCCTGGAGGCAGAATATTGTTGGATCTTTTTTTTAAAATCCAATCTGCCAGTCTATGTCTTGATTGGTGAGTTTAGGCCATTAACATTCAGGGTTATTATTGAGACAGGATTTGTATTCCCAGCCATTTTTTGTTTGTTTTTGGTATTAAACTTGACTTGGTTTCTCCTTTGATTAGTTTTTCCTTTAGTGTTATACCTCCCTTTGCTGATTTTCATTGTTGTTTTTCAATTCCTCTTCATGGAATATTTTGCTGAGGAAGTTCTGTAGTGCAGGCTTTTGAGTTGTAAAATCTTTTAACTTTTGTTTATTATGGAAGGTTTTTATTTCATCATCCAATCTAAAGCTTAATTTTGCTGGATTTAAGATTCTTGGTCGGCACCCATTATCTTTCAGAGCTTGATATATATGTTGTTCAAGGATCTTCTAGCTTTCAGGGTATGGGTTGAAAAATCTGCACATATTCTAATTGGTTCCCCTATATGTAATATGATTCCTTTCTCTCATGACTTTTAATATTCTCTCCTTATTCTGTATGTTAGGCATTTTCATTATAATGTGCCTTGGTGTGGATCTGTTGTGATTTTGTACATTTGGTATTCTGTAAGCCTCTTGAATTTGATTTTCCAATTTATTCTTCATGTTTGGAATATTTTCTGACATTATTTCATTGAATAGATTGCTCATTTCTTTGGTTTGGAACTCTATTCCTTCCTCTATCCCAATAACTCTTAAATTTGACTTTTTATACTATCCCATATTTCTTGAATGTTCTGCCATGGTTTCTTACCATTTTCACTATGTGGTCTATATTCTTTTCAAGATTATATGTTTTGTCTTCATTGTCTGAGGTCCTGTCTTCCACGAGGTCTAATCTGTTGGTGATGCTTTTGATTGAACTTTTAATTTGGTTTATTGTTTCTTTCATTTCAAGGATTTCTGTTTGTTTGTTTTTTAAAAAACCTCTATCTCCTTATTGAAGTAATCTTTTGCTTCCTGTATTTGCTTGTGTAGCTCTTTGTCAAAATAATCTTTTGCTTCCTGTATTTGCTCTCTTATGTCATCCTTTAATTCACAGAACATTTTAATTACATACCTCCTGAACTCCTTCTCTGTCATTTCTTCTGCTGTGCTGGCCATGATTCTAATAATGTGGTATCCTGATTTGTTTGGGGCACTTTTTTCCCATGTCTTCTCCTGTTGCTTATGTGTCTTCCCTTCTAGCTCTGTGGATCCTAGGCATATGAGTGGGGGGAGTCAAGTGATGGTGTTGGACAATGAGTTCTGAGACAAGCTCTGTGGCTTGCAGTGTTTTTGGCTGACTTCAGAGCCTGTGTGAAGTCAGTTTTTACCTTATAGGCTTATAGTGCCCCTGTAGGGTTCCAATACCTCTCCTTTGAGGAGAAGGACAATGTTATCGGATCCCAATATAAACAATATACACCCTAAAAACAAATGTTTGCTAATAAGATGTCTACAGTTTGGTCGCAATGTACAGAATGGTGAATTCAATTATTATCTACAATATATTCAGTAGGTTTAAAGGGTTTACAGTTTCTGATGATGGACAAAGAACCAGGGGTGAGGAGTAGGATGATATGCTGAGGATTAACAGGTGAGGATATAGTGTTGTTATATCTTAGGGAATGTGAAAGAGAAATCTAGAGAGGAAGATTAGTAGCAGGAGAAGGGTAAGAAAGTAATTTTGGGTAGTCAAGTAAGTGGAAGACAGTAGAGTACATAAAACAAACACACGTATATATCAAGAAAATTCAAAAATGTTAAAATATCAGAAATTGGTGGGAAAAAGACAAAAAAAATAAAAAGAATATACAACACAGTTATAATATACTATTCAGACATCCCAGTCTTCAAAATCCTTATTCATGCAAAGTTCTTGGTTTCACATATGCTGGGGATGTGAGGGCAGGAGAAAGGAGAGGGAGAGGGGAAAAAAATCTTGAAGGAAGACACAGGGCTTGTTTTGGTTGGAGGTCAGTATCTTTCCTGCTTTCCTTCTCATCCAGTAGGTGGGGTCATCTGTCATTAGCTGGTATCTCCACCCTCAGGATGCTGAAGATAACTGGGGTGTGTCACTGTGCTGGGTTAGCAGCTTCCAGGGCAGGGGGAGTTAGAAACTGGGTACCTGGAAGATGGTGACGAAGGTGACCCAACATGGAGGCTCCTGCTTTCAGTGGTGGGGTGTCGGGTCGAGTGGGGGTGTCAAGTGATGGCGTTGGACGATGAGTTCTGAGACAAGCTCTGTGGCTTGCAGTGTTGTTGGCTGACTTCAGAGCCTGTGTGAAGTTCCTGGGTGCAGGCAGGCTACTGTGCATAGGAGACTGTGTCCGCTGCTGCAGAGTCCCAAGATGGCCGCAACTGGGGGAGCCCCAGGTTGGTAGATGGGGGTCCACACAGGAGTGGTGGCCAAAATTCCTATGTGTGGGATGCTGCCAGATATCCTGTGTGGGTGTGGCGTGGTGATTTCTGCTCAAGTGGGTGGCCGAAAGTTCTGTGTGGGTGTTGATGGTCCTGCTTGGGTACCCATTAGTCCTGTGTGGGTGAGTAGTCGGGAGACCTACTCTGATGCTGAGGCCTACAGCCCCGGACAGGCATAGTGACCATGATTCCCGTGTGGGAGCAGGAATATTGCTTGCAGAGAAGCAGTATTCTCACTACTTGAGTCCCAGGTCACAGAGTGACACAGAATGCTGCCACCCTCTGGCCTACCATCTTGGATCTCTAGAGCTAACCATCTTTTATTCATTTTCTCTACTAGAAATATTCATTCATTTTCATTCATTCATATTTATCCATTTTCTTAATGATTAACATATCTTTATATATTAAGTACATTACTCGTGCGTCAGATTAGTTGCAAAGATTTTCCCCTCTTTGTCTTTTAGTTTTTCATAGTGTCTTCTAAGGAAATGTGTTCAGTTTTTGTTTTAGATGACTTGTCTACTTTGTATGTAATACTGAAATATTTTATTCCCTGCTATATCTGATATTTGTGCATGTTGCAAAATAGGAATGTAACTGATTTTTCCTAAAGAAAGGCCAATACTTGGGGCTGGGGATGTGGCTCAAGCGGTAGCGCGGTCGCCTGGCATGCGTGCGGCCCGGGTTCGATCCTCAGCACCACATACCAACAAAGATGTTGTGTCCGCTGAAAAAAACTAAAAAATAAATATTAAAACAATTCTCTCTCTCTCTCTCTCTCTCTCTCTCTCTCTCTCTCAAAAAAAAAAAGACCAATACTTCATCTTCTCCTCAGATATTTGAAATACTGCCTTTATATGAGATCCCACATCTAGCTGGGCTGGTTTCAGTGTTTATCATTGTGTATATTTATTTGCTGAATATAAGATACTTGAAACAATCTTATTTTATATATATATATATATATATATATATATATTGCTATCTGAAAGAGGCCTCCACTAATTATGTTTCCACTAATTATGTTTAAAAACTTCTTGAATGCTCACATGTTTTTTTTTCTATTATTCTATGTCATTTTAACATATATTCCACTTTGATTTTCAGGCGGTGAGAGTGTCCAAAGCAGTGCTCATACGCTTGCCAGTGTGAGGCACGTTCGCAGGTTGTCCTGGTCCAGCGCAGTGGTGTGGGTGATGTGCAGAGAGTGCCACTGGCTGAGACATACTGCAAAAGGTCACGCCTGCTGCAAAAGGCCGTTCCTGGAGGTGACAGGGCTGTAGATGACCGGCAGTGGATACAGAACTGCTAAAACATTAAGAATGAATTTACTCTCCACGGAGAAGATCTGGAATGGTAAAAACAGCAGTGTGATGCAACCTGTGCCTGTGAGGGGTCAGACTGCCTTCAACATACAGAGAAGTGGAGGAAGGATTCACATCTGTGGGGTGTGCCTGTGTGTGCCTGTGTGTGTGTGGTATGGGCCACTAGTGGTAGGTCAAAAGCTGACATTTAATTCTTAACTTTGAAAATTAGAGAAGGCTATCCTATAAGCTTATATTTAAAATCACCAACATAACCATTTCTATAATTAAAAGTCCAAAGACATAGATTCAAAAGAGCAGAGTATATATAATGCCTCCTCCAGACCAGCATGAGGAAAAAGATTTAAGGAGGGAAGAAACAACAGAGAAGTGGAAAATAAATCCAAAGAGCAAGATAATAGAAGTACACACTTATCAATTAGAATTTAAAAGTACAAACAGTGTGATATCTCATGATGAGCAAGAAAAATTTTCAGAACATTCTTTAAAACAAAACAGAAGTGGGGTATTTATGTCCATTTTTTTTTTAAAAAAAGCTGATTTGGATTGGTTAAAAGAAAATACTGGGAACAGAAGGCTCTCCAACCTTGTTCTTCTGATTCAAGATTCTCTTGGCTAATTTTGGATTTTATATGTCCACATATGCTTTGGAATCAGCTTTTAATTCCCACAATAATGAACATGCCAGAATTATACCTGGAATTGAGTCTCACCCATGAATCAGCTTGAGAGAAAAGTCAGCCTAACAATGGAGGTCTTTCCAATCTGTAGGAATGACACCCCTCGCCTCCTTTGTAGTTTTCAAAGTAAAGGTCTTGCACAACTTTTCAAATATCAGTTTCTAGGCATTTTCTTTGTATGTTATTATAAATGATATATGTTTAATATTTCATGTTTTGCTTATTTATTGGGATATGGAAATAAAATTGTTTTCTATACTGACAGCATTCAACATTCTTGCCAAATTTGATTATCAATTTGTATACTACATGGAGTTCTTTCAGTGATTTATATACACATTTGTGTCATCAGCAAACAACGACTTCTATTTATTCCTTTGATTCTTTGTCCTAGCTTATTTATTGTTCTTGGCTTATCACACTGGAAAGGATCTCTAATATTAGTGTGAACCCCACTGTGATATGGGCAGCCTTTCTTCCCTCCTGGGGGCAAGAGTTCAACTTCTTATTGTTAAGTTTACTTTAGTATTTTTGTTGATGTTTTTATTGGATTAAGGATGTACTATTCTAGTTCTGGCTTTCCAAGAGTGTTCTTAAAGTTGCGAATAGATGTTAAATCTTATATACGGTTTTCTTGCCACCATCTAGATGATCATATGATTTTTCTTTTTTTTTTTCTTTTTTTTTTGGTACTGGTGATTGAACTCAGGGGCACTTGACCACTGAGCCACATCCTCAGCCCTAATTTGTATTTTATTTAGAGACAGAATCTCACTAAATTACTTAGCACCTCACTGTTCCTAAGGCTGGCTTTGAACTCATGATCCTCCCAGCCTCAGCCCCCTGAGCCACTGGGATTACAGGAGTGTGCCACCATGCCTAGCTGATTTTTCTTTTTTATGTTATGGGAAAATGACATTGAGACTGACTTTCAAATTTTGAACCAATGTCACATTGTAATAAATCCAAATTAAACCTGCATTATCATTTTTATACATTGCTAGATTTAGCTTATATTTTATCTGGGATTATTCCATCTGTATTCATATGAGAGATTGGACCATTGCTCTCCTTTTTTATTACATCCTTGACAGATTCTGATACCAAGGCAATGATGACCTCAAAGTGACTTTAGAGCTATACCCCTCTTCATTTCCTGAAAGAGTTTAGTGGAGGTAAACTCTTTGAGGCTGTAAGGTGTACAGTGTCCCCGTTGCCATTTCTGATAGTGGTTACATATTCTTTCTTTTTCTTGATCAATTCTATTAATGTTTTCAAAGAATGAATTTTTTATTGATTGATTATTCTCTATTATATGCTTATTTTATATTTCTTTGATTGTTTCCCTTGTTCATGTTGCATTCTTCCTTTTGTTTTTAAAATTTGCTCTCCTTTTTCTAATTTCTTGAGAATATGATGAAAATTTAGATTGCTGACTTTTGATCTTTTTTTCTTTGTGGTATATGAATTTTAGGCCAGGAGTTTTTTCTTTTAAACATGGCTTAAAATCTTTCCCATATATTTGGATATGTCACTCCATCATTATCACTTAGTTCTGTATAGTCCTTGAAGTCCTCCCCCATTTCCTCTTTGCCCTTGGTTTATTCAGAATTATATAACTCAATTTTCAAACAGCTGGGTATTTGACTGTTTCTTTTTCCCTAGCTGACTTCCACGGTTGTCAAAGAACATTATCTTTTTATTTTAATTTTTTTGAAGAATTGGAGGCTTGTTTTATTGCCCAGCCATGACCAATTTTGGAAACTGTTTCATGTGCACTTAAAAATAAAGTGTATGCAAGAGTTTAGAATGTAGCATTCTATGTATGCTAATTATGCCAAGTTTGCTATCTGTTTTGTTATAATTGTCGGCTGTTTCTATCTGCTTGAAGATAAAGTGTAGGAATTGCCCATTATGATCAGAACTGGTCTACTTAGCCTCTGTATTTTGTCAATTTTGCTTTGTGTGTATTTTGAAGTTGTTTTTAGATGTATACGGAATAAGATTTATAATGTCGTCTTAGTGGACTGACTGCTTTATCATTTTCAAGTGTCTGTCTCTAGTAAGGTCTCCGTCTGAACGCTGCCTTGGTGTGACTTTTGCAGGAGTCTGCTAGTTCCCTTTGTTTTGCTGTCCCTGGAGTACCTTTCCCTATTCTTTTACATTTAACCTTCCTGTGTCCTAGTATTTAAAGTCTGCCTCCTCTAAAGAGAATATAATTGTTTTTTTTTTAAATATATACATTGCAGAAAATTTATAAAAGGCCAAAGAATGTGGGAAAAATCAACAGCTTGTTTAGTATTCAAGAAAGGCATTTTGAAACAAGCACACACCATTGGATAGGCCTATCACACAGACTGACCACATCTACAGGTGGTCAGGGTAGGGAAAGCAAGCCTTCTAAAACGGTACAATACTCATAGTGGGATTTCAAACCATCGTTTTTCTTGTATGTTTCAATATTTCATTTACAATAAAGAACTTCTAACTTTACCAAAAGTGGTGATGCTGTTGTCATTGGGATCACACATCAATGGGTACACGTCTGAATCTGTCTTCACATCTACACAGACACAGACAGACTCATAACTCAATGCTGCTGTGCCTGCCCTAGTTCAGGGCTATGTCTTTTTTTAAATTATATTTTAGTTATAGGTGGAGACAATATCTTTATTTTACTTTATGTGGTCCTGAGGATGGAACCCCTCTGAGCCACAACCTCAGCCATGTCTTTTCGCTGCCATCATTCCTCCATATTGAACAACAAATCAGATCCTCCTAAAACTGTAGTTGACATCATTTCCTTGCTTGCAATCTTTCAGTGGTTCCCAGTGTCACGAAGATAAAGTGCAAGCTCCCCCGCATACAGCCAAAGCCTCCGAGGTCTGAGCCCATGCATCCTCTGCCCAATGCCTGCCTACACTTTAGTTTCAACTACAAAGTGCTTGTGGTATTTTTACTTATGTGCTTTGCTTCCTCAACAATTAATTTGCCAGGAATATAATTGGATTTTAAAATCCTCAACTGACAGAACTCTATTTTTTACCTTGGCATATTCAAACCATTCATATTTACTGTTATACTGAGAGAGTTGTGTGTTTATCTGCCATGTTACTGTTTGCTTTCTATTTAATCCAAATACCTTATATTTTTTTTCCTCTCTTCATGATTTCTTATGACTTATCCAAATATTCAGATCATTTCATTTCCCTGTATTTCGTTTCCCTTCTGGCTATATTTTTTTGGTGGTGGGGGGTGATTCTTGTAAAGGTTATCTAAGCATTTCTCACTTTATTAAATATTGCTAACCTTACATTTAAAAAAATATATTTAAACAGGTATCAAAATATTCTCCAAGACATATTAGGAAAACATATAAAAATGAAAATAGCAGTTATGAATTAATGCCAGAATTAATTGAGTCCATGTGTTTTGGCACGTGCTGTATGCTTGTTGAAGGCTGAGGACTACATTCTCCAGAACACTTTTCTCTCTGGATCTGGTTGGAGTTGACCTAAGTAGAAGGGCACACAGCTTGGAAGGTGAGATCATTAACTGTTGAGCAAAAAGTCACTACTCCAAAGGGTCATCGTGGTCAAGTGCAATGACAGACAACTGCAGAGACAACTGGTAGACCAGCCTGTCTTTCCCTCCCTGGTTGGCATCAGATTCATCTGGCTTACTGGCCCTGCTGAGTATCCCTGTCCCTGGGCCACCACCAGGCATGTGGCTGTGGACCTGCACAGGTGACAGTTCTTAGAGGCAACATCTCCTGGAGGCAGGTCTCTTGCCCTTTGTGGTCCCACCTCTGTAACTGGAAAGGAAAACTCCTGTTCATTCTGCTCCAGGTAAGCAGGTGGCCACTGCGTCTCTGAGTGTCCACTCTCTTTAGACCTTCAATTCCAGCTCCTCCCACATCTCTGAGCTCTGACTTCTAGAATAAGCCCTGTTCCCGCACAACACCAACATCTATGTTTCAGACAGAATACAGACTGAGAATTGAATAAAACCGATGACATTTTACATTATTAAACTGTAAGGTTCAGAATTAATGCATAATTATAATGAGTCTTCAGTGATCAGAAGGAGTGCTTTGAAACAAAAGGTGAAAATGATTTTAAAATACAAAGAAAATTGACAGAAACACAACTTTATGCTGCCTAAATTTGAAAACACTGATGAAATAGATGTTTTGTTAGAAAGATACAAAAAAACTCAGATGGATTTGATAATAAATAGAACACCAGGAGAGAACTCTTAAAAATTTAAAATGTATCAGAAATCTGTCTTCAATGTTACTGTGAGCAGATGATTTTACAAATCATTATCCTAAAATATTTAAGGAAAGCATACCACTACTTAAGCTATATAAGAGAGTTGCAGATGTGAAAACTTTAATAAGATATTTGTGTATATCATCTACTAGTGCATTTCAGTAATACTACACCATGCCTAAATAGATTTTTTATTGCTGGAGAGGAGGATCATGGAATAAAATGAAACTGTTCTCTAATTCTTCAATGAATAAATAGGTCAAGGGAGAAAGGTTCTGGGATATTTTTATAAATATAAAGAATGCGTTTAATAATATTCATTTCTAAATTAAAAAAAAAAAAACTTTTAGAACTAAGAATAAAATGTCATTCCTATTGCAAACCAGCTTAAAATTAGGTTAGCAATGAAAAATATGGTTATTCCCGTTAAAATCAAAAAGAGACCATTCCTATATTGCTGATTTGAAAATTTTAGACACTAGAGTAAAATGAGAAAAACATGAAATTGCATACTTAAAGAAGGAGGTGACAGTATCTGTTTTTATAGGTGATTTGATCATCTACCTGAAAGACACAAAGAAGTCAACTGAGTAAAGCTATTTGAATAACAAACTCTAGTTGGTGATTGGTTACTGATCCAATGCATAGAAATTGATAACTTTCCAACATAGCAGCAATAACTGATAAGAAAAATCTACATATATTCAATAAAAAGTATAAAGGTACTAGCAACACACCTAAGGAGACAGAATGTGCAGAATTACTCTGATATAATGAACATTTTTAGTTCATGTAAAAATTTTTAAATAAGTACAGGGAGCATTCTTTTGGATAGGAGACTTGGGCTAATTCTTACATATATTTACTTAATACAATTTGATAAAATCAATTTATAGAATCTAAATCAGTAACATAACTTATTATATTTAAGTTCTGCATCTTAATCAGGATTTTGTTTTGAATGTAACAATTATTTTAAGATTTACCTGGAATTGCCGCAGTCTGGCTGGGCACACAATCACGAGCCACCACACAGCTTGTAGATTCAAACAGCAACTCTTTATTCCCGAACTCACACCAGCCGTCTACAATCACGTTCTGGGGAAATCCACGTTCTCTGCCCAAATCCACCCCCACTGGGCTTCTGTCTCCCAAAAAATACTGTCTGAATCCCGTGAGAACTCAAGGGGAACTCAGGCAGCAGGATACGCCCTATTCCCAGCAGGAATAATCTTAAACCTGGAACCACCCTAAACCCGGATAGTCCTAAACCGGGAACGCCCTAAACTCGGATCATCCTAAACCGGGAACACCCTAAACCCGGATCCGCCTTGGTCCTTGAGCAAGGTCACCTACATGCAATGTCACTGCAAAATGTTCTATTTCCACGAGTCCTTCCACTAAGCAACATGGGGTATGCTGGCAAGGAAATTGTCATACCTACTTGGCTAATGGCTCCCAGCATGGAATAATATATTTGCTGGAATATATAATTTAAAAAAATATGTCTCAGTGGAAGGATATCTATCAGATATTAAATATACCAACTTATAACCTAAAAATTAAAAAGATTTTTCTTTTTGTCAAGTAGTGGATAAGCAAATGTTTGGAACAAAATAGAAACTTTAGAAACATACTAAGAGTTTGCAAGACTTTATTATGTTATACTCTCAATCATTGGAGAAAAAATTATACATGGAATGAAGGACTAATTATTTAGGAAAAAGGATTTTCTATCTATTTATTTATTTAATCAGTTATACATGACAGCAGAATGCTCTTTGATTCATTGTACACAAATGGAGCACAATTTTTTACTTCTCTGGTTGTACCCAAAGTAGGGTCACACCATTCATACAATTACACATGTACTAGGATAATAATGTCCATCTCATTCCACCATCTTTCTTACCCCCATACCCCATTTCCCACTCCCCTTTGCCCCATCCAAAGTTCCTCCACTCATCCCATGCCCCCCCCCCTTTATGGATTATCATCCACTTATCAGAGAAAACATTCAGCCTTTGGTTTTTGGGGATTGGCTTACCTCACTTAGCATGATATTTGCCAACTCCATCCATTTACCTGTAAATGCCATAATTTTATTCTCTTTTTGCTGAGTAATATTCCATTGTGTATGTGTGTGTGTGTGTATGTGAACTGCTATGAACATTGATGTGGCTTCATCACTATAGTATGCTGTTTTTAAGTCCTTTAGGTACAGACCAAGGAGTGGGATAGATGGGTCAAATGGTGGTTTCATTTCAAGTTTTCTAAGGAATCTCCGTACTGCTTTTCAGATCAGTTTCACCAATTTGCAGTCCCACCAGCAATGTATGAGTGTGCCAGGAAAAAAAAAAAGATTTTCTATCTTATATTTTACACACAAAAAATACATTTAAAAGGCTTTAACATTTTCAATGTAAAAATACAAAAAAATAGATGTTGGAAATGAATATAGATATTCAGGTGAGGAAATAGTAAGCATGACTTAAGTTAGAAAAACTAACCAATGAATAGTTCTTCCTTTCAACTTGGTTGATCATTTTCTTAAAGTATCATACTATAAAAGCTTCCAGAATCAAAATGTCCCTTGTGTCAACTTTAACAGAAAATAAACAAAGTTAAGAGGTTATGAAGGAAAGTTCTTCACAGTTGCCCACAGTGACTGTCACAAAAGGTTCTACCAGAGCCACGGAAATGCACAAAGTCCTTGTAGCCCTGCACAGAGCCCACCTGCCAGGATGCCTGTCCAGCCACTGTCCAGCCACTGCCATCGACTGGCATCCCCCTTGGGCTTGATCCTTGAGGTCAAGGAGACTTGCATTGGAATGTCTCGTGCTGTCGTCCTTGATTTTCCTTGACAGCTTCCCCTTGCCTCGACCTCTGAACGTGCCGCTCACCATGGCACCCGTGTTCTGGCTGCATTGGACCCTGGATGAACTTGATTCTCTTTGGAGAGTCTCTCTGCCTGTTACTTAGTTTGACAATACTAACCCGTGATCCACCAGTCGGAAACAATATAAATTGTGCCCCTAAATCATTCTTTTGTAAGAAAAACTTTCAAAATTAGAAGATTTTTCCTTATAATTTGTACATATTAACATATAATGTATATTATATTTACATATAATTTATTTACCATAAATTTCATTTTTTTCTCCTATAAAATATGTCAAATTTTAGACATTGGGAGACAAGATTGGAACTTGAATTTAAACTTGTCTGTTTTTTAAAAACTGCATTAGAATATAAGTGAGCGTCAGTGTTGGCATTATTGTTCACAGTTATTTTGAAAGTCTGAATTCTGGAAATGCCTTTCCTGAAGCAGCATCTTTTGTTTCCTTTGGGCATTTTGCAAATATGTGCCTTTGGAGCAGAGCGTCCCATTACCCCCTGAAATACTATGAGAACATCCCATGGTTGGTCATCTCATTGTTTAGACTGGAAATACATGTATCTGTCTGTCACTCATCGAGTCTTCATTAACTAACAATGCCGTCACAGCATCTGTGCATACATTTCCTCTGACACTCAGAACTTCCCAAACTCCTTGGAAATCCCTGGCCAAAGAAAGAGGCGAGAATTCCTCCTTTCTCCCTTCCACTGCCCGCGCCTCTGGCAAACGCATGCTCTGTGACCCATGTCTCAGAAGCACGCTCAGAGCATTGTCCTGAAGAGCCACCTTCTCGAAAGAAACTCAGCCAAGATCACTTTTTTTTTTTAGTTGTTGTTAGACATTTATTTTACTTATTTATTTTTATGTGGTGCTGAGGATCGAACACAGTGCCTCACATGTGCTAGGCAAGCCCCCTGCTACTGAGCCACAACCCCAACCCTCAAGATCACTCTTTGTAACTGGATGATAGCAAATAGTGTTTCAATTAAACTCCACGTGTTCCACTGCAAGAGGAACTGGAGTGGACCTTGGAATGAGTATGTGATGGTGCTGGAGATGAAGACAAAATAAAACGAGAGTATCTGTTTTTACTCTAAGTGAAAGCTTCCTTGAAAGTTTTTTGGGTATGGGGATTTAACCCAGGAGCACTTTATCACTGAACCACATCCCCAACCCTTTTTTATTTTATTTTGAGACAGGATCGAACTAAATTGCTGAGGCTGGCCTTGAATTTGTGATCCTCCTGTCTCAGCCTCCCAAGTCACTAGAATTACTGGTGTGTACCACTGGCCCCGGCCCTTGAAAGTTTGAAGCTCATGAACACTACTTTCCCAAATAAGCAACCCATTTCAATCTTTTGATTTTTACTTAATAACCACAAATGGGTACAGACACCTATGCCTCTCATCCCCTCATTCTTCCTGGCAGTGGGCTGGCTCAGGACTGGCACCCAGCTTTGAGTGGTTACTCCTTAAATATTTACAGACTCCAATGCTTTTCTGGTCCTCAGCCTCAACTTTCTGTTATTTGGAGCATTTGCAAAGGTATAAGGTCTCTTCCATTCTAGCTTAGGACTTGCCTAGTTTTTTCAAAGGCCTAATTGCTGTTAGGAAATGTCCTCCTCTGGGAAAGCTGGGATGCCTGCTGCAGTCCCAGGAGGCGTCCGCCCACCCCTGAATCCCAACGGAGCCAAGAAGCACAGGGGCAAATCCAAGCCACACTAATCTTCACTAATTGAGTACAGGCCACAAAACTGGGGACAGCAAGGGCTTAGACTCCCAGAGGCAAGGCTCCTGCTGTGACAACTCCTGCAGTCTACTTGGGATAGTGAACAAAGAAGTGAAATACTAACTAGAGTCATGATTTAATCGCACTGTTAATTAAACCATTTGTTTGCAATGAGAGAACAAGTTAATGTAATTCAAGGCAATAAGAGAAGCCCTATCATTCATTTCCCAAGTCACCACAGACATTGTGACACTCACTGTAAATCTCTACCTCCTGATGTCATCTCTTTGGGTGGACGTGGCCAGGAAAGATTTGCAAAGGTCTTGGTTGACCGGGGTCTGGAAGGCTTGAGCTGTATCAGGAGAGGCAAAGACAATATTAGAGAGGCTTCCAGAAAATGGGGCACCTGAACCACAAGTCAGAGAGAGGAAAGCCTGTGGCTTCAAGGCAGGAGTGGCCAGAGTGGCAGGAGTAACCAACCAAATGCCCACAGAGTTCAGGCTGCAGCAAGAATGCCAGTGGCTGGAGTCAGCCTGGTCTAGCTTGAGGTCCAACTGGGGAGGATCTCAAATGCCAGGTTTTTTACTCCACGGACAATCAGGTATTGGGCATAGCTCTCCACCAGGGCCTCTGCACAGCTGGGGCACAGAAGAGTGGACAAGGTGGTCACTGTCCATCTCCTCAGGTGCAGGAAGCCAGTGCAGAAATGCGAGTGAGTAGCCCACGACAAACTGACCATTTACCAAAGGAGCAGGGACCAAGAAGAGGGCTTGAGGATGGCTGAGCCATGGGTGAGTGAGAAGGGGGAGCTGAGTGGCTTATGGATGGCTTGGCCAGGCAGGGGGGACAAGGCTCAGGGCCTGCATAGTAGAAGCTGAAGGAGTTCAGGGGGACCACAGCTGCGTGCCAAAGATGGTGGCAAACCCAGAAGCGAGGAGGGAGGTGGGGGTGGGGGTGGGGGTGAGGGATCCACACTGTCTGCAGTCATAGGCTGGACAGCAGCAGTGAGGAAGGAGCTGCGAAGGGAGACACACCCTGCCCTGAAAGAAAGCTGGGTTTACACAGTGCGAAGGCCAGTGTGTGCCGGTGGGTCTGTTTTGCAATGCTATTTCTACTCTTTAGAAACTCTTACACAGGGCAATAGATGAAGAATGGGAGGTGCAGTCCTCTGACATGGTTTGCATCCTATTCATCGTGCACGTTGTGGGCAGCACTGAAACTTATCACTCAGAACAGTTAGCACCTGTTGGGTAAGGTAGGCCCTTGTGCCTGTCACAGGTACCGGAATGGTGCTGGGACCACTCCTGTCCCTGAGTCCTCATTCCCACACTCTGATGGCAGGTGCCAGAGGGGCCCATTGCTGGGCATCCAGTACCCACTACAAGAGAACTTCACATAGATTTGTTGAGTGAATAATAAGAACAAGAATGGATGCGTTCATCTAACAACCAAGAGGGTAGATCACAAAGACAAGGCAACATTGGGACAGTTTCGACTTGTTCTTGTTTGCAGGTATCTTGAAGTAAAAAATCTGCAAGTCTTAACACTTTTATGATGAAAAGCAGTGAGCTTGTTCATGGCTGTTAGCTACACTGAGGCAAGAAACAGCACTCCATTTATTAACTCAGTGGCTGAAAGTGAGAGTACAAGCTCTGACGGTGTGTGTGGACTGGTCAGAGGTGAGTATGTATAGCATCACAGGGACCAGGGCACGGGAGAGGCATCCTTTGCTCACAGGCATTGTGGGAGACGCTGCTGGGGTTCCCAGTTGCTCCCCTTTGGTCTCTGTTATTTGCTGGCAGAGGACCACACACCCCACCCTCTGCCACACTGCTTGCAGTGCCTCCATAGCTTC